CGCGCTGCTTGTTGTCGGCGGCGTTGACAAGGATTTCGTCAAAAATCTTGTATAGACCAGGGACGAATGTGACTTTGCGGTACTCCATGAGCTTCGTCTCCTTGTTGAAAACCCACATGGGTTGTTCAGTGGGCTCGACGGAACCAATGTAGGTATCGGGACGCTTGATGATGTGCTCCAGCTGGGTGAGCTTCTGGTAGGTATCGGTGGCATTCTTCTTGGTCTTTGGCGCGGCAGGCTCCTCGTCGTCGATCATTACGCTGTCGTTCTCGATCTCTGAGAGGGGATTTCCACTGGACTTCTTCGCAGCGGGGGCTTTCTTAAGCTTCTTGGCGCTAGGCGGGGTGTTAGAGAAAGTTGAGGCGCCATCTTCGTCGTCGCTCTCGGGTTTCGCGCGCTTCTTGGGTACAGCTTTCGTCTTCAGTGTAGTCTGCGTCAGCTTCTTCGCTGGCGCTTTCTTGACCGCAGCTGCCTTTGCCTTGGGCTTCTGTGACGGGTCAGTACTGGGTCGCGTGATGATCCGAGGAGCAGTTGGCAACTGGCTGGGTCGCTGTAGGATCGGCATCTTGCCGGGAGGGCAGAGGAGGTGCGGTGGTCAGGAGGTAGCAAGGTGCCAGAAATTTGACCGCTGGTAGGGGTTTGGAATGCGAAGAGCTCGCGCAAGTAGACGGAGGGCAGTCGTGAAGAATATTCTCGCGGCTATGAATTGCCCTCCTGAAAGGTTTGCGACAAACGAGAGTCTGTCAATGTGGAGGGCAGGCAGAGCGGGCGCGGCGCACCGCCAGATCTGGGTACAGCCCATGATGAGGCAGGCGCGACGACTGCTCTTTCCCCGGATTGCGATGAGGGGCACGAGGGTGAAAGTGAAGGGTCCCGGCAGAGACAGGAATACTCTGCAGACAGAAAAAAGGAAGCAAACATACTGCAGGCGCAAAGTCGGACTCCTCTCCCATACTAAACACGGACGCTTCGTCGGACGACATCTTGTACAATATACGCTCCCCGAGGCGCGGGGAGGAACACGAGAAATTTCGGAACGCGGTAGTAGTCGGTACACGTGGTGATGGAGGAAACGGTCGAGGAATCGCTCGGCGACACAAGGACGAGGAGGGTACGACAAGATTTGATCCGAAACGGCTAGCTGGGCGGACCAGGCGCGCAATTGGCACGAAAGTTGATAAGAAAAAAGAGAGGGAGGAGGGGAGCGAGTGTGCCAGCTCGAGCAGGGTCTTTTTACATTGAAAGGAGGGTATGGTGAAGGGAGTTTGTGTGTTGCGATCTTGTCGGGACTAGATTGGGCGACGGGATGATTTTCCTTGTTGTTGGTAGCAACCCTTTTTGGGATGTTGATGTTTGGCACCTGGGCAAGTAAACAAATTGGGAACCTAACGGGTGAAGGAAAATGGAGTCGCGACACCTCCTTGCTCTTTCTGACTGGACCGCGTCGGGGCCCTTGGCGCCTTTCCCCCTTTGTTTACTGCCTCAGGCCCTCCTACTTGCTGTGCGGCCACTACCACCTCCCGTCCTACGGCGTGGCGCCAGAGTACCGGCGCGAGCGGGGGAAAAGCACGTACCTTACCTCCCGGCACCTGCCAGCTGCACGCTCTGCCTCTGCCCCGCCGCCTGTCCAATTGAGGTGTCGCGGTGGCACTACGTAGTAGATTTACGCACAAGACCAGACCAGCGGGAGCTGCCAGCCAGACCCACAACCTTAGGCCCAAGACACAACCCGTCAACTTTCACTCACCACCTTCTTATATACTACCTACCTAAAGTACCTTACGGTCATTAAGCATTGATATAGCATCAATAGCAGGAAGAACCAGAATGTCATTTCTGGCATAAGTTGACCGAATCCGAAATAAATAATCATATCGCCGTATCATCTCTTCACTCACACTCCCATTCATATCTCAAAATGACATTCAAGTACTCCCTGAGGCACCAACACAATCAAACGCCTCTCTACACCTTCCAGCCCACCAAAATACCTAGTAAACTGACAGCCCGCAACCCTCAAACAACACGCCTCGTCCTCCCCGTCTCAACCTCATAAACCCATCCGCTCAGAGTAACACTCTCCGGCACCAACTTGGACGCCTTGATAAACTCAATATCCTTCTTGACAGCCGCATCCAGCTCCGGGAAGGGGAGGAAGTCTGGGATACGGCGCGCCGCCTCCGAGGAAGCCTCGGCACTGACCAAAGCACGTTAATGCAATAAAAGAGATGATGTGAACATGGCAACTCACCCAAGATTCTTCTCAACGAGACCAAACGCATCTTCGTTCTTGAAAGTCAACATGCCGCAGCCCGTATGCTTGACCAGGACAATCTCGTGCGTGCCGAGGAGCTGCTGCGAGATGACGATGCTGCGGATCGCGTCTACGGCTGAAGCGCCGGCCTAGGATTTTCCATCTCATAGTGAGCCAAGGCGGATCTAGCGTGAATGCTTGCTTTTCGTGAGGTATATATAGCTTACATTGCGAATGACGTGCGCATCGCCCAGCTCGATACCAAAAGCCCGCGCCGGATCGATCCTGGCATCCATGCACGTCAGGACGAGGTACTTTTTCGCCGGCGGGAGGGCGAGGTGGCCCTTGTCAAAGGTCGACGAGTAGGTTTCCGAGGCGGCCTCGACATTCTTTTGAATTGCGGACATGTTGAATGAAGTGTGAGGTGGTTCCTGTTTAAGACTTCCTGTGAATTATGATATGTGGGACGTTGAGTTTTGTCTTGATTCTACCCGAGTAGATATGGTATATAAGTTGTTTGACAAGGGCTGTCTCGGGATTGTAAGAGATGGGAGATCCCCTGGCCTTTACATATTCCCCTCTTTCTCTCATTCTGCCACGAGCCTAACTTGCAGTTCTCCAAGTGCCGCGCCTGTGATCACTGATAACCACTGAAATCCTGTGATATCTGAATGTGGGTATATGGCGTGCTTTCCGGCCTCTGTGCACACCGAGACGTTCAACCAACGAGCTTCGCCGTCTCACGCATCCAAGAGCAATAGTTCGGTCCCGGCTGGGAAAGGTGAGTGTGCCCAGATACCCCGATTCCAAGGTGGGGTTCGATCACGGCACCGATCGACAGTATTGGTAAGCCGTCACCTCTGTCACCGATCTGGTTGCCAAGCCTTCGCCCACGCAACCCTGCCTCCACGACGTTCTCGATACGCAGTCGTTGAAGTGCAAAAAAGGTCAATGTCGGCATTGTATCATCCCGAAGAGCCGTCGCCGAGCCGCTCCGACTGGCCCCGCAACGCTTTATTCGCACGCCGGGTCACCTCGAAACAGCGGTGTCGGGATCTCGAGAAGGTGGGTCATGCGTACCGGAATCTCACTTGATTCTGCAAATCCCGTCCTCGTCCGCACGGGAATCAATAGATGACGTGGGTCGCCTCCGTCTTTGTAATAAACTATCTAGAACAGACCATCAAACCCCTCAACGCCGTGGAATCTCTGGAAATGGAAACTCCCTACGTCGAGAGCTGCTTGTAGAAGAAAACCTGATCCTTCAACTGTCGTGGAACGGCCGGACTGATGCCGTAGTTTGGAATTCTGCCGACCTCGACGTATCCGAATTTTCTCCAGACATCCTCTGCCGGGCTACCCACCTCGGTATCAAGCATCTAAGCATATCCCGTCAGCGTTTTCCTCAAGGACTATAGTTCAATGTCTCGAAGTTCCTTACCAACAGCGTTCGCCCCCTCCTGAAAGCCTCACCCTCTAGAGCACTCATCAACATCCTGGCGCCACCACGCCGGCGGAATTTGGGGCTGATGAGAAGCTTCTCGACGAAGCCGCGGAACGGGCCCGTCTCGGAGTAGGGCATGGAGAGCATTACGACGCCCATGAGCTCGGTGCCCTTGAACTTGCTGCCCGGGTCGGATTCGTCGAGGAGGATCAACATCATGCGGGTGCCTGCAGTCACTTCTGCTATGCGCTCCTTCCACCATCCTAAAAGCTTCTCGTGTGACAGAGGGGGCAAGAAGGTCGCGAGAGTCCGGTCTGAGCTGATGCAGCCGGCATGTAGTGCTGCCAAGTAGGGGATCAAGTGGGTGTGGTCCGCGGGTGAGAAGATATACGGTGTCCCCGAGCTTGAGGACATCTTGAAGGCCCCCTTGCCTCGTGCGTGCGCAGGTAGCGTGCTCTTTTGCCGTCTCAATAAAGTATCGTCTGTTAGAAATACGATAGGGGCCGTAAATTGGGCCAAATGGCTCAGAAACTGCGCAGCCAAGCCAGACCAGAGCAGAACAAAGTAAGAGCTAGTAGAGATCGACAACGCAGGAACAGCGCAAATTCAGCCTCTGACCCTGTCCTGCTACTGAGGTCTAGATGGTGGTTAGATGCACGCAATTGAGACCGGTCACACAGTATCTTTCAAGTCAGTTAGTTAGGGTAACTTGGTGTCTGTCTCGTGTTGGCGCAGCGAGGTCGCGTGTCTGTTGTAATACTGGATGAGGGGAAATTTGTCAAAAAAGCTCACCTCAGCTTTAAGAGACTCAGCACGAGACGTGAGCAAGCGTGAGGTGGTCAGATTGCTCAAGAGAGCTGTCCGTATGGGTCAATGGGTCAATTGATATGGACAAGGTTCGCCAAAAGTGTCAGGAAACGGGAAACAAGTAGGGAAATGGGCACTCGAGAGACGTTGAGGTTATGAGGACAACGGGGAAGAATTGGTGACAAGAGTCAACTCGTGCAGGTAGGTTCTTTTTTTTTCGATGGTTCCTGCCAAATCCAATTGGGTCCAGCCTAGGTGTCTTTAAGGTGGGATTAGCGGCTTGGTGGCCCAAGCCCAGAGGCAGAGGAAGCCGCTACGAGGGAATTCCCGGCGCAAGGCACCGGGGCCTAGAGGAGCCGGCAGAGAAACAGCCCCCCGCATAGAGTGGAAGGACGCGATGGATTGTGACATTTCAGCCAAGTAAGCACCTGCAACAATTCACCTTGGCAGCGCCAATCTATAAAGCAGAACCGATTTCGTCGGCCCTACGGATACATGCCTGAAAGGCCATTAGCAGCCGCAATGACTTTCAGGTTTCTGTATGTAGGATCCCTTTGCTTCCACATATGTTCGCTTCCGTTAGCCGTGTCTCATTCATCAACGCTCAACATGCCTACGTATTCAACCCGCTTCTTAAGCCGGACTCGGCCCTACGATGTGGTTTGTCTCCGGAAACGCACGGCACGTGTCCGAGTCGGAGTGCTTGGCCCAGCTGCCGTTCGACCCCTGGATGATCTGTCTTGGAAGTGGAGCAAACAAGCTTAAAGCTGATGCTGAAGATAAGATGCCAATTCCATCTATATGCAGCATGCGTCGTAGTATTGTCGGGTTTGCTATAGTTGTATAGCAGTAGCAGCACACATTGACTTATGTCAGGTAAGGTGAGTGCACCGATCTGCTCACTTGACCATGTTTGCTCCATGGCCCGTATTCGTTCTAGACTGCCCCTCCAACGTCAGTATTTCCATGGGATCAAACTTGCTTTCTTTGCATTGAACATTCTATTCAGCTTTCGGACGGACAAATCACAGCTGCCCACCAAAACCCTTGAACCCCCCCCCCCCCCACGACATGAGCCTTTGATAGGCTGCACAACCAACTCGCGGTACCTTGCTGTCAGGTACCTCATTGCCTTTACATAAGGTAGCTAAGATAGGTAGGAAGAAGAGACTCCCGTCCTATCTAAGATACCTACACAAGAAGGTAAGGCGTTGCAGGTCCATAGGTGCAAGCATTGAAGGCCACCCACTCACGGGAGTTCGGACACACGGACCATCCGCTGGTGTCGTCTCACCTTCAGCTGCCTTCACCGCATCTACCTGGGTCTAGAGGTCCTGAGGTGCATGGTCCCATCTGCAAAGTACCAGGGGACAATAGGTGCTACCCAGGGTATCCGTAGCTATCTCAGCTTGCAGTTGGCTACCTCCCAAACTCCCCTCGCACTCACATGCACCTACCCCTCTGACGTCGCTGTCTAGACCCTGTTTCATCGCCGCCTTTACCTAACACCAACTCCGAGTTCCCCTCCTCCTCCAAAGCTTCCTTCAACGACACTCACCTATCTTAGTTTGAGACTCTTACGACTCCCACATTCTCTTTTCTCATTTTCACCATTGCGTTCACACACTCTCCTATTTCGGCCTCATTTCAGCTCAGAAGCAGCTTCCTGCCGTCATGGATCACATCTTTCGCAAGGTGGAGCGGGGCATCGACGCCCTTTTCGGGGATGAGCGACACGCCCACACTCACTCAGGCCACGAGTGCCATGAGCACCATCCCGCCGGTCACGCCGAGAACAGATTCCAATCCTTTGCGCCGCAAACCACTGGTAATGCCAAGTGGTATGTCGACGGATGTTCATACTTCTGGGCCGTTTCCGAAGCTATCGAACGTAAGCTTGCACCACGATGTTACCAATTCCCCTAAGCATCAACCATCTTTCTCTGACCATGTGAGCTGCAGAGGCCCGAGAGAGCATTTACATCTTGGATTGGTGGCTGAGCCCAGAGCTGTACCTGCGCCGCCCTCCCTCTCAGAATGAGCGCTATCGCATCGACAACCTGCTCAAGGCTGCCGCCGAGAGGGGTGTCAGGATCAACATTATCGTCTACAAGGAGGTTGAAGCCGCCTTGACCCGTGAGTGACCCCGGCCCTGAGCAGTCGTCTGAACGCCACACTAACGACCAACGTCAACTAGTCAAGTCCTCTGTAAGTCAACATCACTTATATCAATATATCAACAATGTGTGCCCATAGAACTCGAGTCATGCTGACACTCTCATCAAGCACACAAGGACCTACCTGGAAAGCCTTCATCCCAACATTGGCGTGTTTCGACACCCTGACCATGTGCCCACCGGATACGACTTCCAAGCTGAGCTCAAGCAGAACTTCGCCAACATGAACGTCAACACCTTCACTCTCTCCAAGGCTTCCGGTGATGCCATCAAGGCCATCTACGGTACCGCTACCGATGGAGTCACCCTATTCTGGGCTCACCACGAGAAGCTCTGCCTGATTGACGGCAAGATTGCCTTCATGGGAGGTCTCGATATGTGTAAGTCATAATGCCAAGCACGCACGCCACTCACTAATAGTATCGTAGGCTTTGGTAGATGGGATACCAACAGTAAGTCGAAAGCATCTTTCAGGTCCCCAGGAGCCGTCTCTAATGGAAATAGGCCATCCCATCGCGGACGCTCACCCCGGCAACCTGGATGCCGTCATCTTCCCTGGTCAAGACTACAACAACGCCCGTGTCTACGATTTTGCTGACGTTGACAACTGGGAGCAAAATAAGCGTAAGCACTAGAATGATATCTGCTCCTGTCTTTGCTAACATCCAACCAGTCGACCGCACCAAAAGCTCTCGTATGGGCTGGTCCGATGTCAGTCTCAGCTTGAGCGGGCCCATTGTGGCTAACCTGGCAGACCACTTCGTTGATAGATGGTCCGTATCAAACTAGTGGTCCCGACGGGTCTAGAGTTGCATACTGACAATAAGTAGGAACTTCATCTATGGCGAGAAGTATGGCAAGAAGAACCCCGGAAAGTACCAGGCTCTCGGAGGAGGTGCTGCCAACGCGGACGCTGGCAGAATCGCCGAGAACGAGACAGATAGCGGCGGTTTCTTCGGCGGAGGTGGCCATACTAGCCACCTCTTTGGCGATCTCTCTGACCGTATCAACCGAGGCATCAGTCGCATGGCAGTCAGTGACGACAACCAAGATGAAGGCCCCCGTAGAATCGACCGTGGTGACCGTGCTGCCAACATTCAGCTCACCCGAAGGTTAGTAATTATGAGCCTCATCCTATTAAATCAAGCTACTGACGGACTATCATAGCTGCACGGAGTGGTCTGCTGGTCACCCAACCGAGCACTCTATTGCGAATGCTTACATGCATGCCATCACCAACGCCCAGCACTACGTCTATATGGAAAACCAGGTAAACCTCACTACCCCCTTTTCCACAACTTCATTCACAAGGCACTCTAACACACGGCAAAGTTCTTCATCACGGCCACCAGCAAGGAACAGCACCCCGTCACCAACAAGATTGGTCGTGCCATTGTCGACCGCATCATCCGCGCCCACCAAAATGGTGAAGACTTCAAGGTGGTCGTCGCCATGCCCGCCGTCCCCGCCTTCGCCGGCGACCTCAAGGCCGACGACGCCCTCGGCACCCGCGCCATCATGGAGTTCCAATACAACTCCATCTCCCGCGGCGGACACTCCATCATCGAGACACTCCGCTCCGAGGGCGGCATCGACGACCCGGGCCGCTACATCCGCTTCTACAACCTCCGCAACTACGACCGCATCAACATCTCCTCCACCATGGCCGACGCCGAAGGCCGCTCCGGCGTCCGCTACGAGGATGCCCGCCGCGAACACGACGACAACGTCGGCGCCGGCTACGGCGAGCAGGGTCAGGGCTACGGCACCCGCGGCGACTCCCAGTACGAGCGCTACCAGGAGGCGGCGTCCCGCGTCTCGGATCAGACCTGGGACACCGTCTCGGCGTGCTACATGGACAGCGGCCGCGACCTGCACTCGGTCCCCTGGCACGGCGAGCCCGAGGCTGAGCTCGACGCCTTCGTCAGCGAGGAGCTCTACATCCACTCCAAGCTCCTCATCGCCGACGACAACCTCGTCATCTGCGGCTCCGCCAACCTCAACGACCGCTCCCAGCTCGGAACCCACGACTCGGAGATAGCCGTCGTCATCGAGGACCCCACGCCCATCGAGTCCGAGATGGCGGGACGCCCCTACACGGCCTCCAAGTTCGCCACCTCCCTCCGCCGCCAAATCTTCCGCAAGCACCTCGGTCTCCTCCCCGACCAGCCCTGCGACCGCCCCAACGACAACTGGACCTCCATCGAGCGCGGGCCCAACACCTACGACTGGGACTCCCCCGCCGACCGCCTCGTCCGCGACCCCATGTCCCGCGAGTTCTGGGACCTCTGGGAGGGCACCGCCCGCACGAACACGGAAGTCTTTACAAAGGTCTTCCACAACGTCCCCAACGACCGCGTCCGCACCTGGAAGGACTACGACGAGTTCTTCTCCAAATACTTCATCATCCCCGGCGCCAAGAAGGAGGACGACAAGCAGAAGGAGGAGGAGGCCAACCGCGGCAAAGTCGAGTACGGCCACGTCGTGCGCGAGGAGTTCCCGGGTGGCGTGCGCGAAGTCAAAGACTGGCTGAACCGCGTGCGTGGCAACATTGTCGAGATGCCGCTCGACTTCCTCGTCGATGTGGACGATATTGCCAAGGAGGGTCTGTCTCTCAACAGCTTCACTGATGAGATTTACACGTAAAAACAGATGGAGGATGGATTCGGTCCGAGGCTCTCCGTTCACAACCAGAAACGCCAAAGAAAAAGTAAGAGAACAAGAAACACAATGTCTTGGAATGTGTTACCGAAACAAACGACACGGTGATTGTCCGTGTATGGGTGGGATTTGGAATTAGAGCTGGGGAGGAAACAAATGAATCATTTCTTCTGGGTGGGATTTCAAAGCAACCTCGTTCAGTCCAGAGTCTCGTGTGTAACAATGAAGCAAGCAGCCTATCATTCAACCGAACCTGCCTCTATGCCCACATCTCCTGATGTCTCGTCTCCTCATGATCGCAAGCCACAGTGAACCCTATCAGCTTAGAACTTGATGTCATATAAGCGACAAATTATCCAAGAAAAGTCGAAATCCCCGTACCAAAGGTATAGTATGGATCCAGGTTGAGGATTCTAGTGAGTAAATGTCAAATAAACAATGGATAATCTGTCAAAGTGGCACGTAAGGTAGACGCGAAAGGCGTTGTATTCTCCTTCCTCCTTTCCCGCCACCACCGCCAAACCTATCAAACATAAAGGAGTATTTATTATACAGACCTCTAGGCCTCATCGGCCAAATCCCGCACCAAAGAGAAAGACATGCAACGGGAAAAAGAAACACTAATAAGAAAAAAGAGTCCCCGTCAAACTCCGTGAGTATTCACCTCAATGCTTTGGGTTTTTGGTACGTCATTCTGCTTTCCTTTCGTTGAAAGCAAGAAAAAAAAAGACAAGCACAACCCACACACTTTTGACGTTCAATGTTCCCCAAATCGTCGTAGCCTCATTCATGGCCTTTCCCATTAGTCCAACTTGCCAAGATCATGCTGTGCAGGGCACCGCTGCTGCTCCTCCAGCTTCTTCCACTCCTGTTCGAGCAAGCACAACTTCTAGTCCACCTTGCCGTTGCCGCTGGGTCCCAGGAGAC